GATTTTGTTTTGTTTCTAACAAACCACATTGAACTGAGATGTTTTTTCTTAATCTGAAAACAGTTATGGATCAGAAGTGATAACTCAGTCAAACATATTAATTTCTTTTATCCTATAGCTTTATTCTACATACCCTAGTTTCCTTGGCATGGAATATAAAATTATATACAACTGTCAATAAGGAAACAATGCTTACTAATACAGATAGAAAATTTTCAAAAGAGCCATCAAATTGTCGTATCTAGCACAGTCTTTTCTTGTCTTTTTTGAGAGTTCCATACAGTGTGCTTTGGCCACATTGAGCCCCACCCTACTCCCCCAGGCTGACCCACCCTTCCCAGCCTATTCACTGAGTTGAATTTGAAAAGAAGTATTAATCTGTTACTCTAGTGATGAAAGTTGCTTGAGGTTTACAGTATGGTTTAGATTTCCAATAGAAAGATGGCCTTCATAGTAAGGAATTCTTCTGTTCAGATCAGCTCACATAATAAAATATTAGCGGTGAAGGGCCTTAGAGGTGGTCTTGTTCACCCCTGAAGTATAGCTGATCAGAATGGCTCTCCCCATAAGTCCCACACTTACACTGCTGAGGCAGAAGGATCCCGAGTTCAGAGCAGCCTCTGCCACATACTTTCTCAACAAAGGAGGGGAGAAAAGGATCTTGAAGCTGTAAAACACCGACCTATGTGCAGGCATCTACAGTGAGCAGATTTTAACCTCAGTGTATCACACAGTGCTGTCATCCCCTCACTACAGGGGATACTGCAAGAAATGGAGGATTGTGGGTGCGTGGTGGAAAGATGAGCCGCATTGATAATCAAAGACCCACCCTAGTGATTAAAGTCAGAAATAGGAGAAGTAAAAATTGAGAGGTAAAGAGCAAACCTCAAGTGAACTGTCCAGTTTGGACTTTCCAGTGAGAATACAGTTTACGGAGGAAGACATTCAAGCTCTTTGGAATGCTGACGGAAGGAGCAGGCCTTCGTATTGGGATGGGAATAAGAGAGTGTGCATTATTTGACAAGTTTAAGAAAACAGATCACGAAATACACCCTTTTTTTTTTCCTTTTTCTCCAAGGGAGGAGATTGATAAAAACTTTAAAGTTAAATGTATCACTTATAAACATTGAACTAACTTTACTTCTGGAAGAAAGTATTTGGTGTGCATTGTTACATATTAATCATTGCATATCACTTTAGCAGAGGAACTGAGTCAAGTTGGAACAGCTTTTAAGAAACCACTTACAATGTGAGTTATGAAAGAGAAGTGGACGAAGCCCAGTGAAAATACTAGAAAATGCAAGTCCTTTCATCCATTGAACTGCCGCAGAGAGCTCTAGCTAACTGGGTTATTCAGACTTAAGACAGCAATAAAAACAGGCCCTTGTTTTAAGGATAAAAGAATTGTTAAAAAGCAGAAGCTGAGACTAACATTGCAAAGCATCTTCATTTTTCATAAGTATTTTCTTCCTGGTACTAAAGTGCTTGATTGGTAATAGATAGGAGTTCATTTAGTTTTTGATCGCCTCGTAAACTGTGCTTAAACTGAGTCCACAGATGGAGCAGCAACAGGGGCGAGCAGGAGCAGTACAGGAAAGGGAAGCCTCTTCATGCTCTAGCGTGGAGATTGCCCAAAGGACGTGTGAAGCAGTTTTCTTTTGAAATTCAAATTTGACTAGTTCATTTTGCTGTTTCTGTTTCAAGATGTTTTGACAATTTTTAAAAAGATTTTGTTTTTATTTTGTTTGTGTGTGTGAGAGAGAGAGGGGGGGGGGGAGAGAGAGAGAGAGAGAGATTGTGTCCATGAAAGCCAGAAGAAGCTCTGAATCTGGAGTTACAGGGGGTTGTCAGCCACAGGCCCAGGGAATTAAATTTATGTCCAAACTCTTAACTAACTTCCGGGTCATCTCTCTAGCTCCCTCTGACTATTTTAAAGGCATGGAATGTTCAAACTGAAAGTTGTACTTAAATCTCCATAGTTCTCACATACACAGAAAGAAACTAAGGGCACTCTAGTCTCGCGTAAGCCCTGTGAAGGGAAGGGGTGTCATGTCCAACTGGGCATCAGAACACTTGGAGCAACAGCTGCCAGCAGAACCATAAACTGCAGCCTGGATTCACAGACTTCACGGTTTTCCTTTCCTTCTTTTCTTATAATTGATGCTGTTGGCAGAAGGAGCCATGAAGTCTAGAGCAGCAGCAGCTGACTACAGCTACCTGACACTTTAAGACCAGTCCCTCAAGTACATCTCGAGCATTCCCCAGAATAGACTATATGTTCTGGGTAATAAAAGCCATTGCGGAACTTTTATGGTTGAAATTATAAATGTCCTCTACAATGAGGTGAAAGCAAAAATGAGCAACAGAAAGCTGCTTATGAAATACCCAAATATTTAGAAATTCAACATCATATCATACTTGCACCTAACCCGTGACAGTCCAAAGACACAAGGCAAAGGATGTTGTAAGTATTCATCTGTATTAAAGTGAAAACACACATTATTGAAATCTGTGGAATCAACAAGTTCAATGGCATGTGCAAAATGTGCCATCCGGTGATGTCACTTCCAGGAAATTAAAACACGAGCAAGCCTTTTGTTGAAATGGGTCTGTCACACAGCTTGCTTAGATCAGGAAACACATCTTGAAGTAAATCTTAAGTGTAGATAATAGAGTGTAAATAAAGCTATGCTACACAGGTGATGACGATGACGGAGAAAACACTCACATACGGTACTACGAGAAAACACTCAATACGGTAATAATAGAGTGTAAATAAAGCTATGCTATACAGGTGATGACGATGACGGGGAAAACACTCACATACGGTAATCCGAGGAGAGGCAGGTCGGTGGAGGTGCGTAATAGAGCTGGTCCTTGTACTATGCATTGACTTGGGGAACACGACGGAAATGAGAATCTATGTGAGTGTGTGTGCGTGTGTGTGTGTGTGTGTGTGTCTGTGTGTGCACTTTTATTTTGAACTTTTTGTTTATTTACACTTAACATATAATATCTGTGATCAAACCCAAAAGCTGGTGAAAGTGGTTCTGAGCACAGCAGTGGACGTATCGGGCAGTAGGTTTCTGTGAGGCCTCACTGCATGACAGACTGTAATTGTGACATCTCCGTGGATCACCTTATCCACAGTTGATTGATACGGAATTGTTGTCAACATTCTTGATTCCTTTCTCCAGACACCAGTTGTCCCGAGCCAGTTCTTTGTTAGATGTTTTAGTGATAGGCCCACCTAATTGTAATCCTTTTCTTTATAAAATGTTATTGTATTCAAGTGATATTGAAGAAATTTAGTCTTAAGGCTGGAAAGGTGGCTCAGTGGTTAAGAGCACTGACTGTTCTTCCAGAGGTGCTGAGTTCAATTCCCAGCACCCACATGGTGGCTTACAACCATCTGTAATGGGATCCGATGTCTTCTTCTGCTGTGTCTAAAGACAGCGACAGTGTACTCATAATAAATAAATAAATAAATAAATAAATAAATAAATAAATAAATAAATAA